GATGTGAAAATACTAAATATTATTACATTATGTTATATATATATATATATATATATATATAAAATCTGCAGTACATATATACATACAAGGAATAAATACCTGAAATATATTTGATTTAGTTAACAGATAAACAAGGGAAAAAACAGGGCGACACGTAACGTAGCCTATATATTTTGTGACGCTTAATTTGTTCACAGAAAGGAAACTCAAATGGCAGAAAGCGACATCCTATTTGTTTTCTTTATTTTACAAAAGCACAATGTTTTGTTTTCATTGTGAGTGTACACAAATAAAAGTAGACCTTTTACGGTGATGCATTATTAATATGACAATAAATGACGGAGTGTTTTAAGTTGATTCTGCTGGTATAAGGAAACAGTTGAAGTGATTGCGCCGGCGCACACACACACACAAAACAACACATTTCATATCACTTGACAAAGCAGTTGGTACTATCAATATAAAATACAGTGAAATAAACATCAGCGCGCCCGCCTCTGTGTCAAGGCGACTGAAGTACAAAGCCTATAATTTACATAATAAATAATAGTTTAACATTCAGATACATCGCAAATATGGAAATATTATGGAATATATGGATTTGTGCCGAATGAGAGAGGTAGGATACACGAGCACAAAGCAGCATTTTGCAAACAGTTGAGTGCGCAAGCCTTTAAAGTATACTCCTTTGTCAGTGAGAGACGCGTTCAGAATCAGCACATGGTCACTGTCTAGTGGGCTTTGTTTTCAAGTGCGCAACTCATGGCGCTGTTCTTCTGCTGGCGGTTATCAAACAGCGTTGCATTACTGCGGGCGCCCACTTCTGGATTGGGGGTGAATTGCCTGTATTCGTTGTAAGGGCTCATGCACACCAAACGGAGACGTCCGCACAGTGACGGTTCGGTACGAATACATGCCAAGAGTCATTAGGGCCTTTCGCACCGCTTTAGTTCCAGAACTAAATGTACAGTACTAAAGTACTGGGACGATTTTGCGGGAACTATTTCCCAGTACCATTTAAAGGGTTGCATTCGCACCGACAGTGTGTACTAAGAAGTGACGTAAGCCGGTCGACAGCGACGTCATTAGTGCGCGGCGTTCAACATTTTCGTACGCGTTTGGCCAATCAATGTCTACTTACGTCACGATTAGTACCAGTTGTGCTGGTTAGACCCTGCTCCGGAGTAGGAGCTAATTTGGTTCTCGAAGAAGGCAGTCCGGTACTAAAATCACACCCAGTTCCGGCGGTGCGAACACGCCAAAAAGTGGGTAGTTCCACAATTAGTTCTGGTACTATGAAAAGGTTCCCACGGTGCGAAAGGCCCTATTCTCGCCTATTTTCAAGGACCATGGTGTTTTATTTTAAAGGGATCCCCGGGTATTAAGATATGTATAGCTTAATATAACGTAAATGATGTATCTTACTGAAATATGTAGTAGAAACCCCATGAAAGATGTATGTTATTTAAAAAAAATCAACATTGTTTTTGGACTATGTGGGGTGCCATTATTTGTTGTGCACAGTACATTCTGCATCGATAATGTCAAATGGTTGCACTCGGTGAGCTACTGGCGCTTTTTAACGCAACACAACTCGCAATTCACAACTCAGAAAATAAAATACTGATACGATACTACATTGTGTGGTTTTTGGTTGTAATTTTCAGTCGAAGGGCAACAAGAGAAGCGATGTAAGACTTCACTGCTTTCCTTGCAATAAGATGAGAAAAGAATGGGAAGATGCTGTGGATGAATAAAACTTCCTAAAGACCCGCTTCTTTGTTCTCTCCACTTTAGCCCTGATGCTTTTGAGGCTTTTAGTAGACCACAGCTACTGAAAGAGCTTACAGATGGCCCGAGACAAGAAACGCTAGATGCCATTCTGTTAGGATGTAAACATGCCGATGCTTGTCATGACGCCGCGGCCACTGGAGGAGTTTCTCAGCGTGGATTTCACTATATCCAGGGGCATTTAGACTCCTTGTGGGGAAAAATCGATGGAACGGCATTTGGTGTAAGCCTATGATTATATCCATCACCACCTCTTTTACCATCACAAGCTCTTTCAGTAGCTGTGGTCATCATATCAGTATTTTATTTTCCGAGTTGTGTTGTGGTAAAAATAGCAACAGGTAGCGGCAGTAGCTCACCAAGTGCAACCATTTTACATCATCAAAATAATGGTGCCCCCTATAGTCCAAAATATGGACCAAAATATGTTTTAAATAACATACATCTTTCATGGGTTTTCTACTACATATTTCAGTAAGAGACATGATTTACGTTATATTAAGCTACACATGTCTTAATACCCGGGGATCCCTTTAAGATTTAAAATTGTACCAAAATGTTCTTCTGAATTACATCTGGACTGCATCTATAATGTGAGGGAGTCGTGACAACTGAGGTGTGGATCCAAATGCAGGCTTTATTTAAAACATAGACAGGCAGGGTCGAACTCCAGCAAACAATATCATCCAAGGCAGAGGCAAAAGAGTAATCCACAAACAGGCAAAGGTCAGGCCAGGCAGCAAAAACACTCAGAAACCAGGCAAACAGTCCAAGATCAAAAACACAAAGGCAAGGCATTTAAACACGGGTACAAGGAAACAATAAACAGCGAGGTGTGTGTGTGTGTGTGTGTCAGTGCAATCTTTATAATCCTCCTAATATGAGACAGCTGAGAACTGAGATCTGATGAGTCCAGGCAAAGGATTATGGGAAATGGAGTCCGGGGTGAATGGCAAAGGTACAGGATAGTGCCCTCTAGCGGAGCTCGGGGTGGGGATTGCAACAGCATCACTATGGAAGAGTATTTACTGGTGTGTTGGTTTCTCTGCTGCAGTGAGGCTCGTGTCAGAGGGGTGCAGTTGCGATGGTGGCAGCCGCGGCACGAGGGCGCAGGGCATGATCAGTGGGCGCTGGACCATGTGGAAGTCATTCTGTGAGTACTCCTGCCTGCAGACATCAAACCAGCCTTATGATAATCATTTCTCCTTCACTCAGACATCAGTAAAATCTTTCAGAAAGCTGACACCTGTGAGAAAAGTGCTTAGAAGTGCTTGGATATGCTTAAATATTTACAAGGCAAGAAAATTATCCTATTAGGTTTATAATGAAGTATGCTCATTATTAATACTATAGTTTCTACATGGTGCTGCATTGCTGATAGACATTAAACACTCCCCTTTCTCATCCCACACACACACACACACACACACACACCTCTCACTCAAGGTCTGGTCTCTCTCTCTCTATCTCTCTCTCTCTCATCACTGCCCTCCACATGTTCACTGCACTCACCCGTCTGCCTCCACCATCCTGCGCTGTTCTGCAATAACCTTTCCCTTTCCTGACCTCCACTTAAATGTATGTTCCTCTTTGGCCCCGCTGTTTTCACTCCCAACATTCAACTCTGTTGGCACTGCATTCCCTCTGTTGCTCTGCTACTGCTGGCGCAGGTCAGGGTTCTTCCACCCCCAGACCTTTGTGCAAGCCAGCAACAGCCCTGTCCTGCATCTTATAACCTTTCCTCTCTTCTGTATTCTGCTCCCTATGGCATGGCTGTAGTGTCAGGTAAGTGCTTTGCTGTTCCCAGAATGCACCAGTGTTCCCTGCCTTTGGTCTTCCCTCATTGAGCCTTTCTTGTACATCACTGTAGACCTCATCACCCCATACAGGTGGAAAAATAAAGGAAACAGCACATGAAAAAGTTAACTAAAGTTAATAATAATTTAGGTAAATCAATTAAAATTGCAAATGCAGCACAGCACGTTCATTAGCAGTTAGCAATACATTGTCATCTTGAACATGCAACGGCTGTTAAATCAGTAGGACCATATTTCAAGAAGCACTGAAACTAAAGTTATAACAGTATGTCAATATACAGTTCTGTGCAAAAGTCAACATTTTTATTTTAAGATTATACTTTTTGCTTTAGTGTGCCATATTGTTTTTGCCCAGTACTGTGTGCATGTCAAACTGTCTGTTGTTTCCATTGTTGTTTTCCCCTGTATCCTACCCATCTAATCTAAAGACTCTTTCCTCTACACAACTGGGGGCTAATGTCTCCCAATACAGAGCTAACATTTCATTTTTGGTTTTATACAGTAATTAATCATATACTTGAAAATATTATGGTCAGGGACAGGTCAAATCAGTCATCCAGGTCACTGGCGGATGTGACAGGAATAACCCATCCTATATACAGCTGGAGTGTCAGAAACTAACTAAGCACAACACTGTATGCCAAAGGATGTACTCAAGCCAACATAAAGCAAAATAGTGTAGTAGTGAAATGAAAGACTCAGTGTACGCTCACTGGTCACTTTATCAGGTGCACCTTTCTAATTCTGGGTCGGACACTCTTTGGCCCCAGAATAGCCCGGAGTCATGATTGGCTGATTAGACACTTGCATTAGCATGCAGATGTACAGGTGTCCCTAAAAAGGCTACTGAGTGTATAAGACTGAACCCTTCTGGACATGACTCGAACATCCAAGGGAAAAAGTGAGAATGATGTAGATACGCTGAACAGGGTGAACAGATGACTTGAGAAAGAAGCCATTCTTTTCTGAACCTTAATTTACACAGTGATCACACTTGTCACCATCGGGGAGTCAGTTCCCACAATTCATGCGTCCTGTCGTGGTGTATTAAAGGAATAGTTCACCCAAAAATGAACATTTTGTCATCATTTACTCAACCTCATGTCATCCCAAACCTGTATGAGCTTCTCTCTTATGTTGGACACAAAAGAAGATATTTTGAAGAATTTTGACAAACCAAACAGTTGTTGGCAGCCATTGACTTCCATAGTAGGGAAAGAAATACTATGAAAGTCAATGGAGACCATCAACTGTTTAATTACCAGAATTCTTCAAAATATCTTCTTTTGTGTTCAACATAAGAGAGAAGCTCATACAGGTTTGGGACCACATGAGGGTGAGTAAATGATGACAAAATGTTCATTTTTGGGTGAACTATTCCTTTAATCTCATCTGTCATTATACAACTTGAAGCTTCCTGGAGGGGTGGAATGATTTTAATAAGATTAAAATGCAGTCAAACATTACATGTGTGTGCATGCTTGGTAAAGAGCCGGTTTCCCGTCCCAGGTCCCTTATTTGTGATTGTATTTGTCCATGATGCATTGCTAACTTTGTGTGTGGTGGCTGTATCTGCACTAGTCCAGAGACTCACAGATAAGCACAGATCCCTTTCACCGGTCCTTCATCCTCATCACAGCACCATCTCCCACCCTCCTGTCCCTTCATGCTTTGCAGACGCCCCGTCCTGTCCTGGCTGCGTTCCTGGCTCATTGGTCCCAACCTGACGCACAGAAGAGGCAATGACAGGCTAAGCAATAGCGACTCTCAGAATTTTTTCCACATTTTTTGACTTTGTCTGTCTGTCTGTCTGTCCTCCTCACAACCTCTCCCTCTTCTTACGTTTGGTCTCTTGATCTTTTTCCATCTGTCAGTCTTTCCTCAAGCTCCAACCTCAAGCACTACTCTATAGATGTCTTCACTCAAAACCAGATTGCTGTCTTTGTCTCTTACCAAACAATTACGATGCACTAGCTCCAAAAGACCATAAAGTGAAATGATGACAGCGTTTGAGGTTATGAGTGAATGATCGATTTGATTTTGTAGTTTGTGGATTCAGTGCTATGTGAATTCTTAATGAAGCCTAGCTACGAATTAGAACAGCGCATTGTTAAACCTGTCTGCTTTCCTCTTCACAGCACCCGTAAACAGAACTACATGATGAACTACTCCAGACAGACCGGTCTACACCACTACTACAGCAGGAAGAGGCGGGCCTTGCGGCAACAAACCTAAACGCTTCGAGAGAAAAACCTGCCACTCACACATTATTCTGCTGGCTACAATCTGCTTTCCCTGATGAGAAAACACCACGTCAGGTCACTTCTGTCAGCATCTGGCCATACTCTCTCATCTGAACGGTACATTGGACCATCTAGTCCCATTTCTAGCCAATCAATGCCTTCCCAGAGCAGTGTGATGGGAAAGACAAGCACCTAAATGTGGCGTTTTTGTATACTTATCTATGAACTATTGGGTTTCCTACTTCTGTTTATTATAACCTTGTTTGAATTCTCCCTACTCTATAGATGTCTTCACTCAAAACCAGATTGCTGTCTTTGTCTCTTACCAAACAATTACGATGCACTAGCTCCAAAAGACCATGAAATGAAACGATGACAGTGTTTGAGGTTACGAGTGAACGATCTGTTTGATTCTGTAGTTTGTGGATTCAGTGCTATGTGAATTCTAAAAGAATCCTAGTTACGAATTAGAATAGCGATTGCGCACGAGAACTCTTTCCTGGAATTGTTAAACCTGTCTGCTTTCCTCTTCACAGCACCCGTAAACAGAACTACATGATGAACTACTCCAGACAGACCGGTCTACACCACTACTACAGCAGGAAGAGGCGGGCCTTGCGGCAACAAACCTAAACGCTTCGAGAGAAAAACCTGCTGCTCACACGTTATTCTGCTGGCTACAATCCGCTTTCCCTGATGAGAAAACACCACGTCAGGTCACTTCTGTCAGCATCTGGCCATACTCTCTCATCTGAACGGTACATTGGACCATCTAGTCCCATTTCTAGCCAATCAATGCCTTCCCAGAGCAGTGTGATGGGAAAGACAAGCACCTAAATGTGGCGTTTTTGTATACTTATCTATGAACTATTGGGTTTCCTAATTCTGTTTATTATAACCTTGTTTGAATTCTCCTGATGTGAACGACTACAAAGCTCTCCTGCTCTCACCTCACTTTCTACCACACTGTGAAGTTATTCTGATGGTTATGATGATCATTACTAGTGCTGATAAAGTTCTGAAGAGGAGAACTGAAGAAGACTCGTGCTGAAGCAGTTTCTTGGATGAAGATAATGACAATGTGTTTTGCTGTTGTGTCTGTGGGTTCGTTTTGTGATGCGTTGATTGTGGTGTTCCAATCATTTGTTAGTTTTATACTAACTTGTATCTTTTGGGCTTGGATCATTTTTCCTTTGTGGAACAAGGCAAGTGGAGAAGTCAGCCTTGGAGAGGGAAAAAAAGAATCAAGCAGAGAATGAAAAGAAAGAATACATTTAAAAAGAGAGACTAACGATGTTTTGTTGTTGTTGATAAATCACTTTTTTATATATCTTGGTTCCTTAAGAATATTTATGGTAAATGGTTCTCCACTAAACCTATTTAAAATACACTGTGGGTGAAATCTGTTGTTTTTTCTGTTTGTTTGTTTTTTGTTTCAGTTTTGTTAGGTTTAAGTTATTAGGTCAGGTTCTTGGTTGCGATCGACACCCTTCTCTTCTCATTCAGAGTCATCCAGTTGTGCTGTTAGTCATCTCCTCATTTCCCCTCTTTCTTTGATGAGCTGTCAGTGTTGTTTATGATGTTACCTTCTCCCATTCTTGGTGTAGCTCTCCAATATAGCAAGTTCTTGTATATATATATTGTATATAAATATATATATGCAGGGATCCATCCGCCTTATAAAAGGGAAATAAAGAACTGTCAAAACCTCCAGCAGAAGAGTGATGATTTATTAAGGTGTTAAGTTAACACAAACACTCGTATACAATTCATATCAGATTTATATCCCCATTTGTGACCCTGGACTTGAGATTTATACAGCATTTATACATGGTTTGTTAGGATAGGACAACAGTTGGCTGAGATGCAACTATTTGAAAATCTGGAATCTGAGGGTGCAAAAAAATCAAAATATTGAGAAAATCACCTTTAATTTTGTTCAAATACAGTCATTAGCAATGCATATTACTAATCAAAATTAAGTTTTGATATATTTACGGTAGGCCATTTACAAAATATCTTCATCTTATCCTAATAATTTTTGGTATAAAAGAAAAATGGATAATTTTGACCCATACAATGTATTGTTGGCTATTGCTACAAATATACCTGTGCTACTTATGACTGCTTTTGTGCTCCAGGGTCACATATATGAATAAGAACTAAAACCGATCAGAGAATCCACGTGATTTTTCCTGCTTACACGTTTGTGGGTCGTATCCGATCTGTACCACCTGGGAGGGAAAAAATGGAATTGGGTCATTTGAACCATGTAATGTAAATGCGACCTTAGTCTAGTTGTTCATGCAAAAGTCCTTTTTATTTTTAACATATTGTTTGCAGCAACAGAGCAAACGTAGGTAGAAATTCTGCAGCAGGTGACCTCACAAACGGGTTCGACCGAGCACAGAAGACCTACGAGGTCCTGTGCACTAGACCGGTGCTGAGCTACTTCTAGAAGCAGAAAGTCCCGGATGGACTCCTGGGTTTCTCACAGGACCAGACTGGACTCCTGGTACAGGAAACCCCTGCAGGGGTGCGTTTCAAAAAACCAACTGTTGTCGCAAGTTCCATTGTTAGCAACAGCAGAACTTGTGACTGTAGTTGGCTAATGATGCTTTTGGAAAGCGCACCCCAGATACGGTTTTGCATTACACTCACCACTGAATGACAAAATCACATTACCTGTCTGGGAATTGAACCTGGGCCATGGCAGTGAGCGTGCCAAATCCTACCCATCAGACCACATGGAAGGCCTTGCGTTAACTGACCCGTTACAGGAACTGAATCTTGCTCGAAAGTGACTGATGTTAACAGTCCCCTCGACTCCAAGGCCACAAAACTGCTGTTCTGTATGGGCTGCTGTCTGCTGGGTTTTTAAGTAGAGTAGCTGAGCATAAAGAAGACAGTTTCACGAGTTCACACTTACATATAATAAACTGAGTAAAGGTTATGAGTATTTGGCATGCTGTCCGGGGAGAGGGCTCCGAGCTTGGTAATTACTCCCCCTTTCCGGGGAGAGGGGTCCGAGCTCGGCTTTTAGCCCGGACCCAGAACGCTCCCCCCAAGTGCTCCTCCCCGTGCTGGGGTAGGAACGAGCAGGAGGTGAGGAGTCAGGGTGGTGGAGGGATGCTGAAAGACTAGAGATAATGAAGGTAAGACTGCTTTGATTATTTATAGGGTTTCTCTCTTGTGCTGGTTGGATAGAGGATGTAATTACTGATGATGGATTGGCCGTGTTAATTATCTGCGCGTGCTGGACATCGCTTGTAGTAGCGGCACTGCTATGGCTTTAGAAGAGAGAACTGGAGGCTCCTGAGGGAGCTGATACTGCTGTGGCATCTGAAAAGAAAAACTCCTGTGGGAGTAGGAACTGCTACGGCATCTGAAAAGAGAAAGTGGCTTCTGCGGAAGTGAGCACTGCTGCGGCAGTGGAGAAATACAGAAAAGGCTCCTGTGGGAGCGGGGACTGCTGCGGCAGTGGGGAAATGCGGAAAAGGCTCCTGCAGGAGCGGGAACTGCTGCGGCAGTGGGGAAATACGGAAAGGCTCCTGAGGGAGCGGGCACTGCTACGGCAGTGGAGAAATACAGCAAAAGGCTCCTGCGGGAGCGGGAACTGCTGCGGCAGTGGGGAAATACAGAAAAAGGCTCCTGCGGGAGTGGGCTCTTCTGCGGCAGTGTGGGAATTAGGTAAGGCTCCTGCGGGAGCGGGAACTGCTACGGCAGTGGAGAAATACAGCAAAAGGCTCCAGCGTGAGCGGGAACTGCTGCGGCAGTGGGGAAATACAGAAAAAGGCTCCTGCTGGAGTGGGCACTGCTGCGGCAGTGCAGAAATATGGAAAAGCTCCTGCGGGAGCGGGCACTGCTGCGGCAGTGTGGGAATTAGGTAAGGCTCCTGCGGGAGCGGGAACTGCTGCGGCAGTGGGGAAATACAGAAAAAGGCTCCTGCTGGAGTGGGCACTGCTGCGGCAGTGCAGAAATATGGAAAAGCTCCTGCGGGAGCGGGCACTGCTGCGGCAGTGTGGGAATTAGGTAAGGCTCCTGCGGGAGCGGGAACTGCTGCGGCAGTGGGGAAATACACAAAAAGGCTCCTGCGGGAGCAGGAACTGCTGCGGCAGTGTAGGAATTAGGTAAGGCTCCTGCGGGAGCGGGAACTGCTGCGGCAGTGGGGAAATACAGAAAAGGCTCCTGCGGGAGCGGATACTGCTGCGGCAGTGGGCAAATACGGAAAAGGTTCCTGCGGGACCGGGCACTGCTGCGGCAGTGTGGGAATTAGGTAAGGCTCCTGCGGGAGTGGGGTGCTGCTGGGACAGTGGGGAAATACAGAAAAGGCTCCTACGGGAGCAGACTGCTGCGGCAGTGGGGAAATACAGAAAAGGCTCCTGCGGGAGCAGGCACTGCTGCGGCAGTGTGGGAATTATGTAAGGCTCCTGCGGGAGCGGGGTGCTGCTGGGCCAGTGGGGAAATAAAGGCTCCTGCAGGAGTGGGGTGCTGCTGGGATGGCTGGAGTGAGGATGGGCCGTTATAGGTGGATTAGGTGATGTTAAAAGGGGTTAGCTATGGTGGGTCTGAAGTTTGAGTGAGCGGGGATGTACTGACGTCAAAGGGGTTGGCTGATGAGAGTTCGGAGGGCTTCCTTGATGTGGGAGCGGTCAGATCGAATGTAGCTCTTGAAAGCTTCTGACGACCAGCCACTGAGTGCTTGTATCTGCTGCTGGGAGAGGCCTTTTTGGGCCGCTGTGGTTGCCGTGCCAATTCGGAATGAATGGCTGGAAAAGTTATCAGCTGGGGTACCGGATAGGAGCAGAACGGACTTAAGGTGCTTTTGAAACCAGAAACGAGTGACGGGGCAGCTGGAGTCGTCTGTAAAAAGGGGGTCGGATGGGAGTTTGGACTGTGATTTCCTGAGCTGGA